TGCATTTCATATCTAAAGTTACTGAAAGTCCAGCAATAGTAGATATATCTAGCTGTCTACATATCATATTCAATTTTTCAAACCTTGCAATAGCTAAGCACTACTAACCTTGCAAAGCAAAAGAGGAAAAAAATTTATTTAACATACGTTGATGCTCATCTATCTATCTCCCACAAATGGGGGAACAAAATGGCTAAACCTTATTCTAAACACTTCTCAAAGGCTAACTCAGTCACGGTATTCATCCATAAAACTCTTATGGAAATCTGTAAGTCGATTTATCACCGCTGGAATCTTGTCCTCTTGAGGGAGAATTGTGCACCTAAAATGCCATGTGCCTGGAACCTATAACAGAAACAATGCATAGAAATTATTTGCAAAACTTTATCGAGGAAAAGGCAAGTGCATACAACACCTAGTTGTGGAAAGCAGAATGATTTTAATTGAAAGTAATCCATACTAACCTGCCCAAAGCCAGAACCAGGAACAACAACAATTCCAGTGGCATTAAGGAGACGGCGACAATAGAATGCATCTGGAACTGTTTTTACTGCTTCAGCAGCTTTGATAGCCTTCTCAGGCAGGTGAATACGGGGGAAGACATACATCGCTCCCTCTGCCTTCTTGCATCATTGCATGTCACACCCTCTAAATTGTTGAATGCATCTTCCAACATCTGCTTATAGATCAAAGCATCATTATATGAGCTTCATATGCCAGATATAATTTAACAGAGAAGTCAGTTAATTGAAAATGCAAATGGCTAAAAATATGGAATTCTATATCATTTGATTGTCTGACTCAGTATTCACATGTCTGCTTCAAATAAACATCAGTGCCTCTTTATCTACTATCAAAATCAATCCACACTCTACGGGTAACTAACCTTTGCACGCCTTGCCAAAGATGAGAGAATTCCATCTCTTTCAGCACAGTATGATTCGTATGATTCATCTCCTACCTGAAAACATTCATCTCCACATAAGTTGCAAAAAAATCCAACATGCAGCAAATATAATAACATTGTACCACTTAATTAATTATCAGTTTCAAAATGCCTATTCAACAGACCAAATTATGTATTATAGGACTTTCGGATGTCTGTATGTCAAATTTAATAGCATATCTAAGACTGGACTACAGACAGTAGTTCAAAGTTACAACTTTCCAAGTAATTAAAAGATTTTCTTTTTCTTTTTCTGCCTGCCATTAAAGGTAGGGATAATATATAGCAAAATCAAAGCAAGGTAAAGCTCCATGAAAAAGAAACAGAGATTGATCATCCAAACTCTATCAGAGACTGACAGACAATTTCTAGGTGTGTGCATTTCATATCTAAAGTTACTGAAAGTCCAACAATAGTAGATATATTTAGCTGTCTACATATCATATTCAATTTTTCAAACCTTACAATAGCTAAGCACTACTAACCTTGCAAAGCAAAAGAGGAAAAAAATTATCCAGGTCTACCAATTTACCAATCATCCAAACATTGGAAAAATCCATACTCTATCCAACATAGATGCATGCTAAAAAACAACAGGAATATAC